TAGTCTCTGGCCTGGTGCTAGTCTATCTCAGAATGTAGGGCCTTGGGACTCGGCTTTTCGGGTGACCGAGTCTTGAGAGACAAGGCTTTTATTTCTCTACTCTCGAAGACGAAGCTTTGCTCTTGGGATGGCAAAGCGTTCTGAAAGGCAGAGTATCTTGTCTGTTCTCGGGAGACAGACCTTCAATGTCCACTCTCGGGAAATGAGGCTTTACATTCGAGATGCAAGGCGTTAAATGTCTGTTTCTGGGATATGAAGCTCTGTACTCGGGAGACAGAGCAAAAATGTTTAGGCAAGGCGTTTAATATTTCTGCTTTTCGAGAGGCAGGCTTGGAGGATCTCTCTTTCCACGAGGCCAGATACCTGAGCCATTGTGAGAAGTGAGATAACCGTCCTGCTTCAGCCCCCTCTTTTAAGTCAGTTCGAAACTGCCCCTCGCTTGATCCTTCCGATAACCAGGTGTCCTAGGTTATCAGTATCGACTGGTCACAGAAGGGTGGGGGTCCCTCTTGTGTGGCAAGATTATTTCGTTACCACGGTTGCTAGGTGCAGCCTCCCCATCTGGCCCTGCCTTCAAGCGGGCAAATGCTCTCTTAATATTTCACTTTAGTAATTTTCCACACCACACACAAGAAGAAATGCTTTCACATTACACCAAGTTGTATTCATTCTTATTCTATAAATTTCCTGTTCTATCTACACTACAGATTCCCCTTTCTTTGTTCATTCAGAGGAATCTGGTTCCATGCTCATTACATCTCTGTCCTATTAATAAGGAGAATGAATCAGGCACTGAGAACAGTCAATGGGGAGGAGCCTAAAAGAAAAAAAATTAAGAATTTTTAAAATAGATGAACATTGTAACATAAAACACACATAAGGTAAGAAAATTTCAAGATTGTACACACCAATTAAAAAAAAAGTCTCCTGTTGGGGACTGGAGAGATGGTCAGGTGGTTACACGCGCTGGTGGTTCAGCATCCACATGGTGGTTCACAGCTGTCTGAAACTTCTATTGAGGCCTCTGGAGGCACTACATGAACATGTACACAGATATACTTGAAGGCAAAACACTCAAACACAAAAACAAAACAAAAATAAATCATTTTATACAGTCTTCTGTGGAGGGCCTGGAGAGATGGCTCAGTGGGTAAGAATGCTTGTTGTGCAAGCATGAGGACCTGGGTTCAAATCCCCAGCACCCATGTAAAAAGCCTGATGTGGCTGAATGAGTACCTGCAACTTTAACACTGCAAGGGCAGAGCTAGAAGGAGCTGAGGAAGAATGACAGAACAGGCTAACCGGCATTTCTCCTCCTACCTCTGTGTGCACAGATAGGCACACACACGGGCACATGTCTAACCCACAACACACACAAACAACAGACAGAGAGAGAGAGAGAGAGAGAGAGAGAGAGAGAGAGAGGGAGAGAGAGAGAGAGACCTATGGAGAAAAAATAAGGAAAGGCAAGGGGACAGAAATTAAGCCTTTCCAATTTATTCCTTATTATGCCACTTTGGTTTTGTTGCTGTTGTTTTGAGTCAGGGATCACATGTAGCCCAGGTGGTCAGGCTGGATGGCGCACGCCTTTAATCCCAACACTCGGGAGGCAATAGCAGGTGGTTCTCTGTGAGTTCGAGGCCAGCCTGGTCTATGCATCCAAGTTCCGGGACACTCAGGGCTACATAGACTATCCCCCCTCCCCAGACACAAACAAACAAACAACCTGTGTAGCTGAACACAACCTTGAACTCCTGACCCCCTTGCCTCTGCTCAAGGACTAGGATTGCAGCGTACACCTTCATGCCCTGCTTATTTTTTTTTCCTCTTGTCAATTTACATTCCAAAAGATTTTTCCAAGTAAACTGATATGAAAACCATCCCCGCAAAGTGGGAGTGCATGCTGGGTCATCTCACACAGACTCACGTGGGAAAGATGTGTGGCGTGAGCCAAGCGTGGCCCTGTGGGCACATTGGTGGTGCCTGAGAAGCTGCGGTGCTCACGGTCTGGAGTCGGTCTGGAGTCAGAGTATGACCGGCACTAAGGCTCTCTGAGCCCTCTAAACAGGAAGAGAGACAGTTTTTTTTTAAATTTATTTATTATGTATACAATATTCTGTTAATGTGTATGCCTGCAGGCCAGAAGAAGGCACCAAACCCCATTACAGATGGTTGTGAGCCACCATGTGGTTGCTGGGAATTGAACTCAGGACCTTTGGAAGAGCAGGCAATGCTCTTAACCTCTGAGCCATCTCTCCAGCCCCAGGAAGACAGTTTTCTCACTCACAAGACCAAGGGCAGAAGACCTGGCTGGAAAAACGGGTATCAGATAACACGGGTCTGTACTGTATGAATTCAAAAATATTTCTTGTAGCAGCAAAAGAAAAATCACCCCAAATGTGTATTTTGGACCATTTTGAAGTGTACATAGGATGCCATGCCACGGGTTTACAATATTGAGCGGCCATCACCACGATCCTTCCAAAGCTACTCTGGCTCCCAAAACTCTCCAGACATTAGTCTTAGAATTACCTTATTTAGATCTAGTTTTAAACTAGACTCTTTCTCTCTGTCCCGGCAGAATGGGGCTGGCTCTACAAGCCCAGAAGAAAGCAGAGTGGCAGGTGTCATTATCTCTACTCCCCACATGAAATCTGGCTTCAGCTGAAGACAGTTCTACGGCCTACCCACATGCACAGAGCAGGGAGACCTGAGCAGGCAGCTTACTGAAGATGAAAAAGGAGTTGGGGTAACAATGGACAGACTCGGATATGCATATAGGACAGAGATGCCCAGAAGACAAGCTGGAAGTGCAAGGCTGTTTGCCAGACAGTGGGATGTGCCCTCCTTCCTAGTCTGTGGGCACACTGAGGTCCTGGGCAATGGTGTGGATGACAGATGACTCAGGCAGGCCAGAACTTACGGGTCTCCAGGGAAAAGCCCCCCGTTAATGTCCAAATACCACCACTTTTCTTCTCACTGCCTCCACGGTCTTCTCTCCAGAAATTTCTGCCCCAAAGACCCTCCTTATAGTTCCTAGACTGGTAGAGTGGAAGGCTAACCATGTGGATGCTGGGAACCAAACCTGAGTCCTCCCCAAGAGCAGCAAGTGCTCCTAAACCCCAAGCCATCTCTCCAATCCCTAGCTTATCTATTTTTGTTGTTTGCAGATTTAGTATCAATCCAAATGAAAACTCGAAACGACATCTCAGGAAATAGTCTCATTGTATTATTATATTGACAGTTCATCTATCTTTAAACTATTTTTATTTATGTGTATGTTTGTGCACGAGGGTATCAGGCCCCCTAGAGCTGGAGTTGGATGACTGGGCTACCAAATGTGGTTGCTAGGATTTGATTCAGCACACACTCCTACTTTTCAGGGATGGTTTTCATATCAGTTTACTTGGAAAAATCTTTTGGAATGTAAATTGACAAAAACACAAACAAGCAAACAAACCAGTAGGGCATGAAGGTGTAGGCCTGCAATCCTCTACAATCCCAGACTCTACAAGTGCAGAAAGCGGCCTTAACCCCTGAGCCATCTCTGGAGCTCCTGATAGTTCATGCCTCCACCAGGGCTATCTCAATAGAAGGGCTTAGTTTTGCTTTATTTTAAGTTTTTAACCGTCTCAACTTTGAATATATTACCTAGGAATTCGACTACTACCCAGTTTGTGTTTGGGAGTAGATACGTAAAGTTCTAGCCTCTCAACTTAGACTCTTAAAAAATAATCCCCCCTGCCCATGCTGCTCCTTCACTGTAACTATTTGGACCACATGTAGGAAGCCCTGTTCTCTGCTAGCAGCCTCGTCTGCACTCTGGTTATTGAAAGTTAAGTTATGCTACCCCCTGAAAATGTTTTCCTAAACTACAAGAATCAAATAGGAAATTGGTCAAGAAACACCATGGTCTGAGCTTAGGGTCAAGAGGAGGGCTCAACACCACCAGAGGAAGCGCAGGGAGGGCCAGAAGGAGGGATTCCGGGGCTTCTACTCACTCATTCTGGTTTGGCAACATTCTGAGCGAATTTTTCCTTTTTTTCTGCAGTGTGCATGTGTCCTTCCCCAGGTATAGTCCATCTTGTTATTTGAGACAGGCCTGGAGTGTGACAGTGGACTAGACTTGCTGGCCCTGGAGCCCCAGGCATCTGTCTCTTGCTTTCTCAGTGCTGGGCTAACCAGCCTTTGCCACGACACCCAGCCTCTTCTTCTTAAACAGGTGTTGTGGAGAGTGAACTCAGGTCACTGTGCTTCCAAGGCATGCATTTTACCAGCTGAGCTACCACTCCAGCCCCAAGGCTGGTGTGTGTGTGTGTGTGTGTGTGTGTGTGTATCAGAGATCGATGTCAAATGTCTTCCTCAACTGCACCCCACCTTTTTTGAGAGGGTCTTTCAATCTAGAATTTAGAGGTTCAGCTGGGCTAGTTGGTCAGTGAGTCCCAGAAGTTCCTCCCTTCCTAAGAACTGGATCTACAGATACGTGCTGCCATGCAGTTGCGTTTAGATTTATTTGCATGTGTATGTATCTTAGTGTATGCCTGGTGTCAGATCCCTGGGTGTCAAGACTCCATTACTTGCAAGCAGCCCAACTTGCCCTGTGTGTGCTGATCCAAACGCCAGTCATCACGCTTATGCAGCAAGCGCCTTACTAAACCGTCGTCCTGGCCCCTAAGTTAAACACAAACCACCTCCCTACTTCCAGCATACAAGATGCTCAACTCACACACAAATTTAACACATCCCAGTCGGCATACCCCACATTTGGAACAACTCCCAAGGCTGTGTTTCCTATTTCACTCTTCCCCACGTACGGTGGGAATAGATGGCTACACAATCACCACCGAGTGTTCAGGCACACAGTACCTCTTCACTGACGGCCACCAACACCACTTGATGCTTCCAGGAGACTCCTGACCCTTCCCACCACTAACGGCCACAACGCCCGTTTCTGTAACTCTTGTATTTTGGAAATTTTAGTCAAAAGGAAGTCAACTAGGAAAAATTAAGGAAATTTATTTGTGTATCAACCAGAAATTGATTTGAATAAGGCACAGTCAACATTATCAATACGGAAACATATGCAAAAAGCAGTCATGGAGGCACGAGCAGGTCTCACATCAATACTGTCAAAGCCATTAAATTGGTAAATACATTAAAGGCAAAATTGGTGGTCAGGAAATCTTGGTTAGACAGAGAAAGTAAGGGTGCTGGTGAAATCATCTTGCTGCGGTATCCTCACATTCACAGGCCACATCTGTCAGTCACAGCCTAACATCAGAGCTCACAAGGCTCAATACAAACCAAGGGCTGCAAGACAATGCTCTATCATCAGCCAGCTGTTGGGCCACAGGCCGAGCCTCACTACCCTAAGCCTGAGGGCTTCCAGGTAAAATTTACTAAAATTATTTCAGTGGTAACAACTCTCTAGAACTTCTTAATCTCTGAAAGTTTTTTTTTTTTTTTTTTTTTTTACCTGAAAGGGAAAAATCCAAGTCCAAATAGTTTCTAATTCTCGCCCTGCTTGATTCTTGGTATTACTCAAGAAAGGATTCCCATTAAACAAACAAATAATGTGTGTGTGTGTGTGTGTAAATATGTACGTATGGTGATATTAAACTGTGACGTTCAAACATGACGTTTGCTGTCATGTAGCCGCAAATTTTCTAAGTCAAGCAAATTATCACAAATAAGAAAAATGTGAAGAACAATGCACTAGAAGGCAGTACATCAGATAATAGATTGTTTTTTTTTTTTTTTTTTTTTTGGTTTTTGAGACAGGGTTTCTCTTAAGGCCTGCCCTGCAACTAGCTCTTGTAGACCAGGGTGGCCTCGAACTCACAAAGATCCACCTGTCTCTGCCTTCCGAGTGCTGGGATTAAAGGTGTGTGCCACCACCACCCAGCTCAGGTTAGATTTTAATTATATGTACATTTTAAAACATATTTTTGTTTAAAAAGTAATTACATGAAGCTGGTGTAGTAGCACACTTCTATAATTCTATTATGTAGAAGTTAGAAGTCTAAGGCCTGAGAACCACTAGTTTGGGCTATGTAGTTGGATTCTGTATTAAAAACAGAAAATCCTTTGTTTTGACCCCAAATAAATATATTATTCTTTTCAAAATAATTTTTAAAAGGTCTGGGGATGTAGCTTAGTGGTAGAGCACTTTCCTTGAACATTAAGGCCCTGAATTCAATCCCCAGTACTGAAAAAAATTAAATAAAAAAAGGGTTTTGAAATAGTGGATAGAAAACTGACAAGTCTCAGTTGATTGCACTAATGTATAGAATGAAAAGTATTTTAACAGTCGACAGTAAAAAAAATGAAATTAATTAAATTTTAGAAATGTATTATATCCTAAATTTATGTTGACAGCAAATTATGTAAAACTATATTCAACCAAATGAAGAAACTTGTTCCACCCATGATCTGAGCCATGGACACAGACTGCATACAAACACTTTAGACTGGTTCCTCTGCAGTCTGAGGTAGCACAGGTCAAAGGCCAACACAAAGTTCTGAAGGCACCCTTGGTTTTCTGTGAAGTGATACTTGGATAAGGGCTGAGATTAAAGCTAGGTATGGTGGCATACACCTATAACCCCAGCACTCAGGGAACCGAGGCAGGAGAAATTACTCTAACTTCAAAGCCCCCTTGGCCACAGAGTGAGGACCAGGACAGCCAGGGCTATACAACAAGCCACTAGCTTTCAAAACAAACAAATAGAAGTCTAGAAATACAGAAACAAATAATATCACACAGATTTTTCTCCAGTCCCTGTGTTTTACACTGGGTCGACACTCAAATTCCATTCACTATGCTTAAACTTTGTGTTTAGGGTCTTTTCTCAATCTATTGCAAGAGTCCTTCAGAATCGCAAATGCACCATTTCTTCCTGTGTTCCTCCACCCTAGTGCAGGAAAGGCTCTGTCCAAAGCCAGTCTATGATCTTTCTGTGACAAACACTTTCAGATCACTCCCTACCCCAGGTCTTTGTGATCCTTTTAGCTATCAATAGACATCTTCTTAGTGTTCCCTAAACTCCCTCCACACTCAATTACTTAACTTCTTAATTATATACATGATCTCATAGCAGCAGACGAGTCAAAACCTAGTGCAAACTTCCAGGGCTATTCCTGTCCACGTAATGGAATAGACCTTTGTGGATGGGGTTATTTTACTAGAGTTTTACTTTAGTGTTTGTGTGTGGATCAGCAGCTATTGGCCCCAGGCTAAGAATCACAGGACCACAGGATGTGCCGTTGGCCACAATCTCTCTTTCTCTTCCCTATGTAGAACATCCTCTTGCATTTCTCCAATTCCTTCCCTAATGGCATTTCTAACTAGCTGTCAAGAAACGAACGTGATATCCCACCAGAGAACAGCAAATCCCATTTGGTAAAGTTATGCCAGTAGCTGACACTGACGTCTCGTCTGAAACGGCACTCAATGCTCATCACAGACAGTTGAGACATTCCAGCCAGCGGCAGCAGAAGCAATGAACAGAAATGAACCAGCCAGAGCCTGTGCCTCTACAGTCTACAGTATAGTAGGCCTTCTGTAGGTCTCTACTACCCTCTACAACCAACCTCACTTCATCTCCCTACTCATAAGCTCTACCACTTTCACCTCTTCCTACCTGAGTTTGTATCTTTAGAATATGCTTTTCACTTCATCAGTGGTTTTCAAACTTCCTTCTCAGTGAAACTTAGTACCACTGAAATCTTAACAGAGAACCCCAAATCCATTTGCCAAGAGCAGAGATGTTCTCATGTGAAGCAAGGGGCTGCTGGTGGGCACAGAGAAACGACACAGCCAGTTGGGATTTCCTCACCTCCAGGGACTCCTACCAACTACTACATTGCTTCCAATGCTCAGGAACACTTTCTTTTAACAAAGCCGTCTTTCCCTCAGCTCATTAATGGAATAAAAGCAGACATGCACCAAGTTTTTATGTAGGATTTGGAGGGTAATTTTAGTTTCCTGTTTTCATCTATTCAAAGTGCAAATCTGTGTAAGACACAACCCCACAACTAAATTATTAAAGTGAATCTTAAAAATACTAAATAAGTGGCAGAAGAGTTCCCTGAAATTATTGGAATTACTAGTCCGAGGCTCTTTGGAGTCCTCCCAAGGCAGTGGTCATGCTTCGGTTCCCCTGAAAATCAGATCTTCCTATGCAGTGATTCTGCCCATGGAGATTTAAACAACCCTTCAGTGTTATGATTCATGTTGGATTTTAGGCCTGATTTGCTTAAAAAGGCAAAGAAAACCAACCAATTGTTGGCTTTATCAAAGTTTAGTCTAGAAAGCGTTCATAAAAGTAAAAAGAAAAAGAAGAAGAAAGCTGCTTTTCCCAGCTGTCCCCTCCCACATGCTAACCACCTCCCCCAGGGGACGGGAGCTGGGCTGGGCCAGGCTTCACAGAAGGCAGCCGTGCTCTTCTATGTTCTTGACGGGCTGGACGGGCAGCACCAGGTGTGAAATGCGACTCCACAGCCCACTTAGTTTGTCTGAGTCCATGTGGCTGAAGGAGCTTGGCGTTTCAGAGTTGGTGAACTTAGCCCAGAGTAAATCCCTCACTTTCTCTTCTGTTTCCCTGGGGCTTACGCTTGCTGCTAATGTCTCCTCCTCCAGCAGGACGGTCAGGACGAGGGCCACGTCTTTAAAGGCTGCGTTCTCATGGTCGCAGTACTTGTAGAAGATCAGGGTGGAGCCTGCAGGAAGGGATTCGAAGCGGTGGACGACGGCAGCCTTATGGCCATTCTCAAATCCATCGCTAAGCTCCAAGTCCACCCACAGCTTGACAGTGTCACTGTCCTGCAGGGCTCTTTCGGCTCCATCTATGGAGACAGCAGACACTTTCTGGGAAGAGGTGTAGGCGTTGGCAACATGGTGGCTCAGACACTTGAGGGTCTCCTGTCCCTCTCGAGCGGCTGTAAAGATGATGGTGGCAGGCTCAGTGGGGCTTGAGGCATTGAGGTGCTTCTGGAGAAACTTCCGTCCTCGCTGCCACAGAAAGGAACTCTGACCTGGAAATTGATCCTTCAGCTGGCTAAACTGAGCCAGGAAAGCCTCCAGGGCTGCGTTCTGGGGCGCTTGCTGGGCCGGGGAGAAATAGTAGCTACTAACGGAATGTAGCACAAAAGCCACAATCAGGAAGCCGAGAAACACAGGACCTGATCAATGAGAAGATAACAGAAAACGAGAACGTGAGTCAGAAACAATGCTTGTCCGGTGAGCAGAAATGAAACACAGGTACTATCAAATCTTCTGGCAATGTTAAGTTCCCTTTGCCTGACTCTCCTACATTTTCACACTTAATGTCTAACAGAAGCAGAGGCAGGAGGATCGTCAAGAATTTGAGGTCAGTATGGTCTACACAGAAAGAAATAAAACACAAAGTCTGACAGAAATACCTTCTTTAATCTCTTGAAGATACACCATCCATGTCAAAGTTGTTCATATACTTTGCTGCCGTCAAGGATGCCTTTGAAAGGCATCCTGAGAACTTTCTCCCACTTTCTAAAGTACACACTGGGTAGGGCAGAGCATTCTACAGCCAAAAATGACCCACACAGGGTGGTACACCACATGTCAGCACGTGGGAGGACAGACTGTAACGCCTGCCCTTCACATGGAGATTCAGTCTCAAAGGGGAAAGCAAACAACTTGAGTGTGTGATCTGAGACATCAGCAGCCTCTGACTGGAGAGGCAGCTTCTGGAGGCTGAGGCAGGAACACGGCCATGTGTCTGAAAGAGTCCTGGGCTGCATGAACCCCAGTCAGGACTACTTGGAAAAGCCCTGCCTTGACCAAACAAAACAAAGCAAAAGGCAGCTTCAGTTTCTTGTCTTCTATATAGTCTTTTCAGCCTCTAGCAAGGTAGCTCAGTTATTCAGTGTTTGGTGAGCGTATACAAGGCCCTATAATTCAGTCCCCCACTAGGGGTCGGGGAGAAGCAGCAGATTTTCTAACTGTGAGAATTTCTATCTGTTAAACAAAATATTAAACAGTAGCCCTGAAGGAAAAACTTTACAACTTTACTGCTCTATTTTATTGAATTTACCAAACATATATATAATTAAAGTTAAAACGAAATGAAATAGCTTCCTAGGCATTTTCTCTGAGGATCTGTGAATGTAGTAGAATTAGGTTGTTCTCACCATAGCTCCAGAGACTCCTGCTGTCTGTCTTCCTCAGTCTTTCCTGTGCAGCCTCTTCCTTTTCCCTCACTGACTGCGTCTCTTCTTCAGGACTTCCATCCTCTAGGGTGAGAAGGAAACTTGTTTGTAGACAGTACACCATAAAAGTGAGTAGTGTCTTTTACCTCTAACCCAATTAGAAGACAGGATTTCTATACTTTGCAAGTTTTCCTTTTATGAAGCCAAAATTGCCAATTAGTTCTCCACCACCCCCACTCCCACCCCCCTTGCCAACATGCACACTACATTCAAACCACAGTTTTATTTTCCTATCCACAGTGAACCTCTACAATGGTGAAATTGTACTTGTAGATAATGGTCCAACCAATATTCATCATTTGTTCGTTCATTCATTTATTCATTCATTCATTTTCTCACTCAAAACCTATTCATAAAGTGCTGTGGGAGTTCCTTCAGCCAATCGCCGCTGAGTTACCAGCCCATTGGGGCGTGGTCTCTCCCTTTAAAAAAAGCAGCGGCTGTCCTCCACTCTCTCTTTGTCTTCCGGCTCCGTTTCCGGCCCCTGGACTCCTTTCCTGTTCGCGCGGAGGGGCTGTTGTCTGGGACGGTAATCTGTAAGTTTTTTCCCCTTTGAATAAATAACCATTATATTAATCATAATTCCAAACTGGTGTGGGATTGTCTGTGACTTACGCCTTCAATAAAGTTGTACCTATGTGTTGGATGCCAGAGAAATACAAAGAAAGCATGAGCTAAGCGCTTCGGTCCAGATATTCTGATGGGAATGCATGAGACATACTAGGTATCGGGGGTCTGCACTAGAACCTCTAAGTCCTTGATGAACACTACTAGAATGTGGGCATTTCAGACTGGTCTCTTGGGTGAGCAGGCTGTGCATGCTGTGATCCTGGACAGAGAACAATCACTATGAGTCTGAGGTCAGCTTGGGCTACAGAATGGGATACTATCTCAAAACAAGAGAAACAACAAAGACCAACCAAGCATCATCATGTGTGTATTCGTGTTGATTTATACACATTTACCTATTGATTTACACGATATTTTGTTTTACAAAGGACAAGAAAATTGAAAATTTTCAATTGAAAATAATAAATTAAATAGAGTCATAAGAAATAAGATTTTTTTCTTAAGTTGTATTTCTTTTTTGTTATATTGCATTAATATAAACAGCAAATAAAAATATTTTAAAATGTAGTTTGTAGGACTGAAGAGATGGCTCAGTGATTAAGAGCACTTGCTGCTCTTCCAGGGTCCAAGGTTCAATTCCCAATATCTGCATGGTGGCTCACACCATCTCTAATTCCAGTTTCAGGGGAACTGACATTCGCTTCTGACTACCTTGAGTACCTGTCATGCACATGATACACAGACATACTTGCAGGCAAAACATCTATAAAAAGGCAATTTGTGGGCTATAAGATATCTCAGTGGAGCTGGGCAGTGGTGGTGCACGCCTTTAATCCCAGCACTTCGGAGGTGAAGGCAGGCAGATCCTGTGAGTTCAAGGCCAGCCTGAATAAGAGCTAGTTCCACGATAGACTCCAAAATACAGATGAACCAAGGTTCAAAAAAAGAAGAGAGAGAGAGAGAGAGAGAGAGAGAGAGAGAGAGAGAGAGAGGGCTCAGTGGATAACAGTGACTTGCCTGATAACCGAAGTTAAAATTCCAGAAAAGCTGAATAGATTTATGCAAGTTGTCCTTTGACATCCATGAAGTACATTGTGGCACCTGCACACACACGAATACACACACACACACACACATAGACACTGATACACACACTCACACATAGACGCACATACAAGAAACTAAAGAAAATGGAAATGTACAGACAGCAAGTAAATGCAGTGACTGAGCTAGCGTAGGAGGCTGGAGACCTCACTCCAGGTCCTCCACTGTCCCAGGGAAACACAGGCAGGGTGACAGCAGCTCAGAGAGCCTCTCACCTGGCACAGGCAGTCGCCTCCTCAGGCGGTCCTGGCTCCCTGGGCCTGCACTGGGATAACCACAACTCGGGCCATCGGTGGAGTCTGCAGCAAGAGGCTCCTGGGCAGCTTCCCATCTGTCTCCTGCTCCCTCGGGGGCAGCTGCAGTGCGATGCCCCTGCTCTGTGTCCTGAGAGCCTGGGATGCTCTTGTGCTCTGCTTTATCCATGGAACGCTTGTCTGACGTCGTCTCCTCTGAACTCTCTGACCTGTCACCTGTGTCTGCATGCTCTTGACCTTTGGCCCCTGCCTCATGAGGGTCATTCTTGAGATCAGAGGCAGGAGGTAGGGTCTGGGCTTCTCCAGGGTCACTCGGTGAGACTGTGGTGCCCTGTGCTTGAGAGTGGACTGTGGGATCGTTTTCTAAATCCTTTTGTGAGTCTAGTGAGATAAAAATGTTTTATTTTAAATACTTTACCCATAGTTTTATACTCTAACAGGTCTGCAATTACTTACACACACACACACACACACACACACACACACACACACACACACATTTTTTCCTTTCCATGATTTATAAGGCATTTTTCCTAAACATTAATTCTCTGAGCTCCTACCAAGGGTAAAACAAGTTGTCCATGCTAATAAAGCTAATAGCGAATACTGACGTAAAGCAACTGTAAAAGCTAAAGTAATGCTTTATAATAATAATAACAGTAATAATAATAAAAGCTATACTAAGTATACCCTCTTAAGCCAGGGTGGTGGCACACACCCTACTGTAACCCTAGCCCTTAGGAGGCTGAAGCAATAGGGTCATGAGTTCAAAGCCAGCCTGCGTCACAAAGATCAACTGTCAACAAAAAGGTGTATTTTTTTCCTGCATTCTCCCCTCACTTTCCCCTTCCCTTCCCATCATTTTACTGAAGCAAGTTCTCAACATCTCACGATTTTAGATAAAACACTAGGATATACATCTCTAAAGAGATAAGGATTCTTAGAAAAAAATAATTGTAACACTTTTACTGTATTTAAAAAGGAATAATTTCTTAATATCACCAAGTACAGGTCATCCGCACTTCCCCAGCTGTCTCATGAACTTCATTTTGTTTCCTCTACAGTGGTAGGATTGGCTCCAGGGCCTTTTGTGTGCTAGGCAAATGCCTACCACTTAGCTACATCCCCTGCCATGGCAGGCAGCGAGATCAGGATTGTGTTGCAACAGTCCAAGATGGATGTTAAGTCCTTGGGGCTTGTTATACTGTCCTGCTTTTAAACATCTAACAACGTCTTTAATGAAAAGGTTAAGGTAGGGGCCAGCAAGAGGGCCCAGCAGACAAGGGCACTTGTTGCCAGCCTGACAACTCAGGCTTGAACCCTGAGACCCACGTGGTGGAAGCAGGGAACCAGCTCCTGCAATCTATCCTCCGACCTTCACACTCACCCGCGTTGTGGGGCAATCTTATCGTACACTGTGAAGATGCGTCACTCTGCTGAGCGGCCAATAACTAGGCAGGGTTTCCAAACAGAGAGGACACTGAGAAGAAGAAAGGTGGAGACGCAGGAGATGTGGAGAAAGCTGGAAAGCAGAATGGACAGGATGGAGACGAAGCAAACGAGCCTCGGGGCAGCACACAGATTAATAGAAACGGGTTAAGTTAGAAGAGCTAGCTAAAAACAAGCCAAAGCTATCGGCTGGCCGAGCTTTCATAATTAAGAATTAGTCTCAGCCAGGCGGTGGTGGTGTACACCTTTAATCCCAGCACTCAGGAGGCAGAGGAAGGCAGATCTTTGTGAGTTCTAGACCAGCCTGGTCTATAAGAGCTAGTTCAAGGACAGGCTCTAAAGTTACAGAGAAACCCTGTCTCAAAAAACAAAACAAAAAACAAGAAAAAAAAAAGAGTAAGTCTTTGTGTCACGATCTGGAAGCTGGCTGGTGGGCAGAGAAAGACTGGCTACACAGACACATACAAAAATAAATAAAATGTAAAACAAAACAAGAAAAACCCTGATGTTCTGAAAAATCTATTTCACTCTTGCCTATTCTATAGCACATACTCCATACCTCCATGTCTCCTGGTGTCTCTACCCTCCTTCTTCCCAGTGTCCTCTGTGCCTGGAAACTTCCTAGTTATTGGCTGCTCAGCTCTTTATTAAACCCAGCAGAGTGATGGATCTTCACAATGTATAAGATTATCCCAAAATGCGGGTGAGGGCATGTAAAGGTCAGAGGATAGTTTGCAATAGTTGGTTCCTGCACATACCCATAGACACACATACACACAGACACATTCACTCACACATAGACACACATACAAGAAGCTAAAGAAAATGGAACGTGCAGGCAGCAAGTAAATGCAGTGACTGAGCTAGCGTAGGAGGCTGGAGACCTCACTCCAGGTCCTCCACTGTCCCAGGGAAACACAGGCAGGGTGACAGCAGCTCAGAGGGCCTCTCACCTGGCACAGGCAGTCGCCTTCTCAGGTGGTCCTGGCTCCCTGGGCCTGCACTGGGGTAACCACAACTCGGGCCGTCGGTGGAGTCTGCAGCAAGAGGCTCCTGGGCAGCTTCCCATCTGTCTCCTGCTCCCTCGGGGGCAGCTGCAGCGCTGCTCCCCAGCTGGGCATCTCCTCTTCCCCCCTCGCTGCTTTGAGAGCAGTGAGGATCCAGATGCAGGGCCTCTCCACCCAGGTGTTCCGAGGGGTGGCGATGCCCCTGCTCTGTGTCCTGAGAGCCCGGGATGCTCTTGTGCTCTGCTTTATCCATGCAATGCTTGTCTGACATCGTCTTCTCTGAATTCTCTGACCTGTCACCTGTGTCTGCATGCTCTGGACCTTTGGCCCCTGCCTCATGAGGGTCGTTCTTGAGATCAGAGGCAGGAGGTAGGGTCTGGGCTTCTCCAGGGTCACTTGGTGAGACTGTGGTGCCCTGTGCTTGAGAGTGGACTGTGGGATTGTTTTCTAAATCCTTTTGAGAGTCTAGTGAGATAAAAATGTTTTATTTTAAATATTTCACCCACAGTTTTGAATTCTAACAAGGTCTGCAATTACACACACACATACAGACAGACAACTCAGGTTTCATCCCTGAGTCCTATATGGTAGGGAGAAGCAATTCCTGCAAACAGTCCTCTGACCTTCACATGCACTCATGCACATGTAAAAATAAAAAAAAGTTGATGACCTCTTTTTCTTATGAAAAAGCTATTTGACACGTATGTGTTCTATACCACACAGACACACATACAGAAGCAGGATGAAGACTTTATTTTATGAGAGAACCCCTACAAATCACAGGTTTTTTTTTTAATAAATAGAATTCTAAAGATGAGTCTACCATCTTTTCAAAAGATGCACAGCATTTTGTTTTAAAAACATCCCCTATTACTGGAATCTACATTTATCTTTCTTATGTTATAATTAGATTTGATATTACATCAAAATCAGTAAATAAGAAAAAGGTAAGAATAATAACAAACTAACCCACTGAATTATAACTTTCGACTTCAGAACTTAAGGTCTTGGTCATCGGAGACATTCTTTCTTAACACAGCCCCCGTTTCCTACTGCCCATACTTTGCACTATGAGGACTAGTCTCACCTTCCACAGGGTCCCTGCAGCCACTGTCCGTCATGTTTGTGTCCTGGCTCTCCAAAATTTGGGACCTCTTTTTAGTGTCTGGGTTGTGTTGTAGAGATACCTTGTTTTCTTCTTGTCTCAAGTTCCAACAGACTCATGCTTCCCAAGGAAGCAAGAACCAAGGAATATATACAGTGACTAAAATAAAATGAAAAACAAACGAACAGTTAAATGACTTCATCAATTCAAATGCAAAACAGCAATTTCAACTCTGAATACAGTCTCTTTGGTCTTGTGTTGCTTTCCGGCTTTCAGAAGCATCACATCCCAACCCCAGACTGCAAAGAAGAAAACTCAGAAGACTAGGAATCTATTACAGATGCCACCACCTTCTAAAACGCTCTCAGATATTTTCAAGAGTATAGGAAAGGACCAAGGGACCCGAATCTTAAAGAGAATACTTTGAATTAAAGCACAAAATCCTTCTAAAAACAGCTGTAGAGGCAGAGGCAGTCCCTGAATTTCTCGTGCTGGCGGTCTCTGGCCCATGTTTTTCTCTCGCATCATTCAGATCAGAATTGCTCGCTAGGGTAAGTGCTCAGGTGCTGCCTGCAAGCTACAAACTGCCCGCACACGCAGCAAGCGCACATCTGCCATCTTATGGAGACACAGAACCATTCATCCCATGTCCTTGTGGTGTTCGGAGAAGACAAGTACAAACCTTACTCAAAAGGAACAAAGTCGGGAGCCAGTTTTAGGCCAAGACAAGTCATTGTAAAGTTCAGTTTTACTGTTGAATATAATTTGTTCGGTAAGTTACTTAACCTTCATTAGAGCCTAGTAAAGGGTTACACTTTCTGACAGCCTATGAGATGCAGAGCAAAGCGGGCTTCTTGGCATGTTTTCCATAGTACTCTCAGCTAATAACATTCCAACTCAACCACACTATTGTAGTGTCCAGTGTATAATAAAACTCTATATAGTGCTTCAAAAGCATATCTAAAATTTTATGACGGGTGAGACAGTTCAGCAGGCCAAAACATTCGCCTCCAAAACTTGATAACCAAGATCTAGGGATAGGCACAAGACCCAAGGTTTAATCCCCAACATTGTAAATAAAATACAAAACAGAACAGACAGCCTAAGATTGAATACCAGTCTATGTAGTAAGAGAAAACCTCCTTCCATGGGTTACCCGCCAACTGCAATGATGTAACGTGGCACAAACACATAAATGGGAAACAGTCTTTAAGAAAATGAATGCGTGTGGTATACAAACTGGAGGGAATGGACACCCAGGAACACCTAGGTGCAGGTCCCTCTCTCTGCTGCTCTGAATATTTAGGAGTGTCTCAAATTTAAAGGTGCCTTCTCTGCTTTCTCTCTCCAAGCTCTTAAAGACACTCCAGCGCGCGCGCGCGCGTATGTGTGTGTGTGTGTGTGTGTGTGTGTGTGTGTGTGTGCACAGGTTCTCATACATGCTGAGCAAGTATTTCTACCACTGAGCTACATCCCTAGCCCTCAGCATATCTCCCTCCTTGGTTGTTGAGAGAGCGTCTCTACAGAGCCCTAGCAGGCCTAGAACTTGCTATATAGCCCATGCTAGTCCTAACCTTGCAGCAATCCTCCTGCCGAGTACTGGGATCAGAGGCATCTGCTCCCACACCCAGTCTATAACAGAGAGGAGAGTTTTCTAGTATATTATTAACAAATGAAAAACAAAAAGAGTATGTTAAGGATGTAGGTGTAGCTCAGTGGCAGACTTGCATAGCACGTGCAAGGCCCTGGATTTAATTATCAACACCACATTAAAAAATTATAGCAAAAATATGTCAAATGATCCCATTTACAGGAAAGTCTACATTAGGCAAATGAAAGAAAAACCAGCTAGTGGTTGCTGGAGGAAGACGGGCGGACTAGAAAACAGCCTGAGGGAAACAGGAGTGACCATGTTGTTTGTCATCAAACTTAAAGCCTGCGTACTTAACTGTGTGCCTTTTACTCTTAACATTATGACAAATAGGATGTCCTAAAATGTTTCACCTAGCTACAGTGTAGTACAAAGCAATGGCAAAGGAACCACCATGGCGTACTCCCCAAACGCTCAACATACACTTCTCTGCCTGCCAGCACACGTCAGTCAACCCGGCAGCTGCTCTCAAACCCTCTGGAAGTCTTCACCTCTGTACAGGGTTGAAGCAGCATTCCCTCAGAACCAGGGGACAAACATGTTTTTACCTCAACTCACAGTCACATGGTCTGGTATCTGAGCCATCTGGAGGCCGCTGTTTCAGAACCAGGCAAATCTTTTGAGCAGTGACTCATCCATATTAGGAAGAGACTTCATTTGGAACCTTACAAGGAAAGTACAGAAGCTGGGTACTGTGGTGAGCCTGTAGTCCCAGCACTTGGGAGGCGGGGCTAGGAGGACCAGGAGTTTGAGATCACCTATACGATATGGCAAGTCCCAGAACAGCCTGAGCTACGCCACAGACCTTGTCAAAAACAAAACAAAACAAAACAAAAAAACAGTGAGACATGGCCTCATAGTGATGAAAAATGTATTGTGGAAGACTTCTGTAACCAGAAAAACTGATCCTTAGCTGTTTTAAAAAAGGTATTTGATGGTTATCTTTCCCACAAAGCATAGGAATGTGTCTCAAATGACACATTTACTTTTAGGGAATCTCTTCCAAGTTCAATTGTGAAATGTTGGTTTTCAGTGTCCCATAGTAACTTGTTTTTCTACTGAAGTAAAACTTAGCTTAATTCTCCTTGTATCATGTCCACTCTAACCCTAACCCTGGAGCCCTGAAGCAACAGCAAACCTGGATCATTCTGCTTTGTCTTCTCTACTGCTTGGAACTGGTCAAAATTCTAGGATTTATTTTCCACTCATGGAGACTACACTAAAGGGTAGCTTTCATTTTTCTGGCCAGTGTAGCAAAATGTCAATGTCTTTTATATCAGGGTGCAAATATTTGTTATGTCCTACAGTCTTCTCTGTGTTTAAGATAATAAGTAACTTTTAAAAAATGAATAATGGGCCAGGCAGCAGTGGCGCACGCCTTTAATCCCAGCACTCAGCAGGCAGAGGAAGGTGGACCTCTGAGTCTGAGACCAGCCTCCTGGTCTACAGAGCAAGTTCTAGGCCAGCCAGGCTACACAGAGAAACCCTGTCGCAAATAAGCAACCAAAAAAAAAAAAAAGCCAACAACCAATCAAAAAACAAGTAATGGGCCAGGGAGGTGCTGTACTGGGCAAGAACATCTGCTCTACAGACACGCAGACCTGAGTTCGAATCTCCAAGGTTTGGTGGATCTGGGAAGAATGCTGGTTAGCCTGACAGGAAAACAACTGGAGCTCTCTGCTAGCTTTCACATCCATACGCATCGGTGCAAACACACAGATTCACACACTGCACACACTCCCACACATACCACAAGAAAAAAGGGAAAAGAGAAAAAGGGTAACAAAATGTATTTGTCTCTATACAAGAAGTACCCGTCAGGGCCTATAATGATAACTAGGAATGCACAGGGAGCTTCAACGGTGGCCTCCTGCCCATTTTATAACAAGCTGGAAAGACAGGACAGGAAAAGTTGCGTGTGGAGAAAACTCGGGGTTGGCAGGGCAACAGGACCTAGCTCATCATTCTCATCCTACAAGTCTCAGGTGTGGCCAACGAGACCCAGGGAAAACAAGGCAAGATAGAGATCTGGAGAAGATCTTCCCTTACACATAAGGGAAGGGCTAGGTATCGGGAAGCAAAGAGGAGGAGGCAGGACTAAAGTTCAGTGTAAATAGAGCAAAGGACCATCAGTCTCTCCGGGACAGGAGTTTAGACATGAAGGACATCATGACAAATGCACAGCAGTAGGGTCCCGCCATGTTTAAACATTCTGTTTTTAGTAAACTATCCCATTTTAGGCTCTCAGAACAAAAAGAACAGGTATCTTAGACATAAATGATTTGCCATCCAAGAACACAGCATACCTAACTGTGACCATTAACATTTATAAAGTGCCTTCTTGGTGCCAGGCAGCCAAACATGCATTAGTAACTCAAATCTTTGCAACGAGGCATAAAGTAGAAACTATTCTAGCATTCTTACTACTTTCCAAACAAAGAAAGGGGTTAAGAACCTCACTCAAGCACACATGACTAAACGCAAAGCCGGGGTCTGAAGTGAGGTGGCCTGTCTATGACATATAGTGTTTAAAGTAAGACCCTAAAAAATGGCTTTGCAGTGTTTACACTACAAAAGTCCGATGCTGGTACTGTTGATCTAGCTTTGAATTGGAACTCTAGTATATATAGTGTGAGTAAATCTGCAGGTTCAACACTCCCCATCCCTGAGACAAGGTGGTTGGCTGGCTTGGAGCTATGTATGTAGACCAAGCGGGCCTTAAACGCATAGAAATTTGCCTGCCTGTCTCCTGGTGCCGAATTAAAGGCCTGTACCACCATAACCAGCTCAGATCCATAACATTTTTCAAAATACTTATTTCAATGCTATAGAAAGTCTCTGGTAACACCGATGTATATCACACTGCTATCTACCAGTTAAGATACAAAAGACTTTATATCCACCTTGGGTCATTTGTCCCCCTGGCCTCTCAACCTTCAAACCTGAGACCATGTGACTTACAACTCCTGCTCATGTTGTCCCAAGATCAATCAGATTTAAGTTTTTGATAATTCAAGCATCAAGTCCTAACTGGTTCTACTTGTTACTACGATTTGGTCCCTTTCTCTAGTTCTGCTTCATTGTCCTAAACATCTTCTGTCATGTGCTTGGTTAAGCGGGTAACAGTATGCTGCAGGGTCTATCGCGCTCCCTCGGGAAGAAACTGGCTAAAAGAGCCCAAGGCCATTTAGCAGTAGAATATAAACCCAGAAGCTGAAAAGCTATTACTTTTCCCTCATAAAAAGCAGTTTTGGTGGACTTGGTGGTGCATGCCTGTAATCCCAGATCTAGGCAGGCAGGCAGGCAGATCTCTGTGAGTTTGGAGGCCAGACTGGTCCCCAAACTGGTAAGATCCTGTCAAAAGGCAGTTTTCAAGCTGTATCACCAAAGACCCATGGAGATTCAGGGTAAAGAGGGAGACCAGAGTCTTAAGAGGTGGCTCACCTCTTTTCAGATGGCCATGGCGTGAAGACTGCCATGTTCTTTGCATGCCAGACTTAGATTAGAT